CCGTGCACATTCCAGGCCTATTGTTAGCTTGATGTGATGTCTCAGTGCAGCCAGACAGTGGGACGCTGACTTGCTGTCAGACTCCACAGCCAACAACTGAGTGCACGCTTATCAGAAAGGTTATACTTTATTGCAGAGCTATAGATGCAGTAACAAAGTCACTGTTAAAAATGGCGTCACCCCTACAAGCATAATGGGATATAGGGTATTCGTATGTACACACCCCTTCCTTAGGCCAATTAGCCACATTCCCACGCGCGGGAGAAGGAGCCCCAGGCCGTTAGAGCCGAAGCTGGGAACTGAAAGCGCTCCCACGGTTCCCTGAATCCCAGACACTACACACCACCTGCAAGGACATAGATAAGCAAGCATTACAGAAGCAAAGAAGGAATGCAGCGGTACTTGGTACACAGGCCAAGCAAGCATCCCACTCCCAACCCTTATGGCAGCATAGCTGACACTTGCCTAAGATTGCCTTTTAATTGGACATTCAAGGGTTCGAAACTGGGAACCCTGCACTTTCCAGGCTGTGCTGAGCCACTGAACAGTGCCTTTTCAACTTGAGCATAGGTGCCTCCAACATCTTGTCTTGGAGCAGGACTTCATGTGGCATGTAGTTCCACAGCTCCTTTTTAAAGACTGTTTAAAGATTTTTACAGAATGCAGTGGGAGGGGGCTGGAGAGGCATTTCAGAAACGAGTGGGACCACTTTAACCCTCTCTCCTCACCCTGGTTGGCAGTTGAATAGCAAACACTTCCCCCCTCCTGGAGATCTCCTGAGATTACAACTGATCTCCGTGCAACAGGGATCATTTCTCTTGGAGAAAATGGCTGCTTATAGTTCCACAGTCCTTTTAAAAGACTGTTTAAAGATTTTTACAGAATCCAGTGGAAGGGGGCTGGAGAGGCATTGCAGAAACGAGTGAGGCCACTTTAACCCTCTCTCCTCACCCTGATTTGCAGTTGAATAGCAAACACTTCCCCCCCTCCTGGAGATCTCCTGAGATTACAACTGATCTCCAGGCAACAGGGATCATTTCTCTTGGAGAAAACGGCTGCTTTGGAGCATGGACTCCGGGAGCATTATACCCTGCCCTTCTCAGCCTCCAATTCCAAAATCTCCAGGTAATTTCCAATTCGGAATTGGCAACCCTAGTCGGACCCTTCTGAAGAATACTCACATGTACCCATGCATTTTCCTCAGTGGCTGGACAAGCAGCTAAGGGAGGGGCTGATTTTCTGCAGGGAAATGACTCAGGAGGGAAAGGGGAAATTGGACCTCTCCCTCCCTTTAAATTGCAGCCCCCTGGTGAATGCAGCTGTATAAAACTTCAGAAAACCGGTGGGAAAAGTTCATTCACCCCCAACTCAGTGAAGAACTCCTGGGATATTAGGGCTCCTCTGTGGCAGGGGGAGTACCAAAGGAGAGGGCTCTTTGGTGTTCATGGTGGAACAGCCCAATGACTCTCTCCCCTCATTAACATTTTGGCATCTTTCCCAGGAAGTTTCCTCATGTGTACTCTTATGCACTTCCCACTCCTTTTAGTGGGGCTCATGCACAGGATTCTCCCAAAAGGTCAGATTTGCTCGTTTCCCATTCTGTCTCCTTTTAAGAGGCAGAAAAGGGCAATCAGAAGGATTAGAGGGTTGGGATACCTTCTCAGGGAAGAAAAGCTACATGTGCTCATTAACATTTTGGCATCTTTCCCAGGGAGTTTCCTCATGTGTACTCTTATGCACCTCCCACTCCTTTTAGTGGGGCTCATGCACAGTCCTCCTGGGGGGCGAGAGGCCCGTTCCCCGCCGCCGGTGGATCGGGCCCCGGGGGGAACCCCACCCCCAAAGTACGTGACGTGCACATCACCCGGAAGTGATGCGACCACGCCGGGCACGCTGGGGGCGGGGCCACGGTCATCCGAGGGAAAACTCTATGGTTTTCACT